GATATGCCTAATCAGTACAATCTTTATATAGCTGATTGCCCCACTGGATTCTGCCATTACTATTTCAATACTGAAATTAATGGTAAGAGTCAGCAATATTACCAGCTATCTATGAATGCCTCTATAAAAGAAATGGAAGAAATTGTTTGCGCAGAGAATAGACATGGAACAATATGTAGTGAGTGCAAGGAAGGCTATTCAGTTTATTTCCATTCAGAAACTGCAAAATGTGGCAGCAATGAGCAGTGTCATGTTGGAATTATTTTTTACATCATCAGTGAAATAGTACCAATTACGGGCCTTTTCTTTGTCATTATATTTTTCAATATTAGCTTAACAACAGGATTGGCTTATAATTTTTTAATCATGATGCAGTTGCAAAAAAGTATGGCTGTATCAGTTAATGGTGGAGTTGACTTTAAACCTTCATTCATACGTAGCATCTATTCTATACTCTATAACATATTGAATCTTGATTTTTTTAACATTGATGAGCTCTCTTTTTGTCTTTGGAAGGGAATGAGTACATTAGACATAATAACTATGAAGTATATATCTGTTTTTTATGCAATTCTGCTCATTATAGTATTTGTCTACCTTTTTAAGTATTGTAAATGTGGGAAGAATGGCTGCTGTCAAAAGAAGATTACAACAAAATTTTCTCTAGTTCAAGGGCTAACAGCTTTTATTGTCATTTCATACTTTCAGTGCTCATGGGTAACATTTAGGCTCCTCAATAGACAATTACCACAAGGCATTGGAGGAACTCATTACAAGGACGTTGTCTTCTGGAATGGATCTCTTGAGTACTTCTGTACTCAACATATCATTTATGCTATACCAGCTCTGCTGTGTTTGATTTTTTTTGTTATTCCATTTCCCCTGATACTTTCACTTGATGGACTGCTCTTAAAAGCCGAGAGCAAGCTAGCAGATCATTTTGATTTCATTAGAAAGTTAAGGCCATGGACTGCAATTCATTATAGATCAAAACCACTTCTTGATTCATTTCAAGGGACTTTCAAGGATCAGTACCGTTTTTTTGCAGGTTTTTATTTTACCTATCGTTTGTTGATACTCACTTTACTGGTGATGGCCTCAAATGTTCTTCAGTATTATTTTTTACTGGAAGTGATACTTACTCTTATTATAGTGATACAGGCTATTGTTCAGCCATTTCAAGAGAAAAGTCACAATGTTTGTGCTCTCCTTATTTTTACCAACATGGCCTTAATTAATGCATTGACTATACGGATATTTTACTTAGTGTCAACTAATGGGTATACAACTGAAACAATATTAATGCAATGGATACAAGTGATACTCATATATATTCCGTTGATAGCTGGGATTGTATGGGGTTCTTGGAAGCTTTGTAAAACATGCCATTCTAAATGTAATGCATCTGCTACAGATCCTTTGACTGGTAGTGTTAATGCATATGGTGATGGGTACATTGCACATGATAATGATTTTCCTGCAGAAATTTTCAACCGAAGTGAAAGTGAAAATGTCCTACTAAAAACCTAAAAGTAAAGCTTTTTGTATTTGTGTATTTTGGTGTCTATATAGATACTTTTAAAACTTTTATTGTGTTGATTAATTTTTTTTATGATTGTAATTGTTGTTTTATATCAAAAATTGTTGTTTTTAGCCAATTTATGGTGAGAAAAGTAGCAATACTGTCCCATTGATGTTAGCAGATTTTGCGATCTGAAAAACAAAACTGAGACTATAGATTTAAAATTTATAAATTTAAATTTCCAGCTAGTCATTAGGGTGTCAAGAACTAATTACAACAAATTATGAAAGGTTATTCATATTAAAATTGCTAACTAAATTTGAACCCAGACTGAGTTATAGGATTGCAGAATACTCTGTGTATCTTAATTCTATTATTAGTGGATGTGTGATATGGTATTATATGTGTGGCCAAAACCTATTATTTATTAAAAGAATATTTTGCATGGATGCAAAATATTAAGACAGCTATGTTTTAAATTTTTATCTGGCCCCTGAGGTACTACACTCTACACATAAAGCATAATGAAATGCATGATATTTCTGTTTGAACGCATTAAAGCAACAAGTACTACATTAAATTTTCTACCTGAAGTCAAGAGGAGACCACCCCCAGAATCAAATTTTTTAATCATGTCATATAAAATGCATAGCACAAGAGGCATCCATGTTGTCCATATGGGCGCCCGCCGCCCGAACTTAGGAGGGCGTGCCGGCTTTAGTTATAAAATCTATGTAGCAGCCGAACTGCACCCTCCCTAAACCGGAAGAATTTTCTTTGCAACCGGAAAAGGTGTTACCCAAGAAAATGGCTGAACTTAGGTTGTACTTTGTTTTTAGCTGGAAATCTTTACTGGACCACTATTAAAGCTACTTTATGCTATCATTTTGATTACTTCAAGATCATAAATAAAATACTTTTAATGGAGAGTCAAAGTTCTATGTTCTATGGCAATAAAAGGACCATGTGTGACATTGCTAAATGGAAAGGAAAAGCAAGAAAGCTATTATTTCTATACCCGTAAGTGGGACAATGAATGTTTAGTTTTATAGTGTTATAATGATGGTTGTGGGACACAATGAACATGATAAAATGAATTATATGGCTAAGTACCAAGTTTGTAGTACAAATGAAAATTACAGTATTACGTTAGCTATCACATGTCCAGAAATTGCAATGAAAAGTGCGGTCACATTATTTAATGATATTCATTGCAATAATTAATTATTGCCATGGCAACGGGTGAAGAAGAAATGGAGTCTATTCTGCTCAACGAGATTTTTGCCCTATTAACTGCAGTCTAGTGCAAGTACGGAGTTTCATTAGCCACTGAAAACTTTCTAAAAGTCTTTTAGGTTGAAGTGGAGACTGTAGTTTCCTTGTGTATACTTGATAAGAC